CATTTAGTTGGACTTGTTTTTGTTCCATCTTTGTCTAGTTTTCCAGCTGTTTCCCACTTAAGTTCTGAAAATTGTACATTTTGATTAAGTTAAGGAGACAGACAACATTTTAAGGTTTTAACTGTTCAGACATTATAAGCACTTGCCGGAAAAAGCAAATCTTGCTCGACTTTGATGCCATTATTCTGTTGCAGATGGTTTGAGTTTCTCGAAGACTTTCCTCGATTAGGGTTTTCATGAGTTTCTTTTGTCTGTAACGACGAGCCTCGAATTCGCCGACGATTAACCACATTTTTTTTTTTACTGAGAAAGTGAGAACCGAAAAGATTTTGACTAGAACATTAAGGATAAAAGCGTCATTTTAACGGTTTAATGTAAAAAGTTATTATTAAAGGGTAAAATTGTCAATTCGACGGTTAATACTTTCACCAACCAACAACACTCTTCTCAGTGGGTTTTCTAATTTATTTGATTGATCGATCGATCCTCCAAAGCAGCAGCCGAAGACGACCGCCGGCGATATATCCGGTTAGTAATTTTTCTGATCCGGATCTTGCATCGTAAAATCTCTTTTTTCGTTTCTACTTAGCGATTTGATAGATCACGTTTATTTTGGTGCTGATTTAACCAAATTGTGCGCATTCAGAAAATTGTCATTTTTAGTTTCTGATCTGATACTAAAAGATGTGAGGGGTCTAATTGAAATGTTATACTTATTGGGGACTGTTGTTTTATTGTGTTTTGCACAGCTCCAAGTTGTTTAATGGAAGCATTGAGTACTTCAAGGGTTGCTGTTCCAGTTCAGGTTCCTTGTAGAAAGCTCTCATCACTTTTTGCTAATTTGTCTTGCCTTGAGTTAAGGAGATATCCTTGTGGAGGTCGTGTGTCGATCATGAACCATCATCCCAAATTGCTTCGTCCAGTGACTGCTTCTTTGCAGCCACAGGAGTTGTCGTCGGCTTTGGGGCACGAAGGCAACGTTGTTCCTTCCAAAGGTAACGGTGAATTACTTTTAGAATCGGTTAGGGAATAACATCTAGTACTTGGTTTGTTGACCTGGAATAACTGTTTAGAATTTTTCATATGTTTTGTAGCTGAGTTTCTATAGTTGGTTGTTGGTTTTTTGAATTGCTAGAAATTATTGATCTTTGGAGAAATGTTGAAGCGGTATGCTTCGATGTGGATAGTACGGTCTGTGTGGACGAAGGTATTGATGAACTTGCAGAGTTTTGTGGAGCTGGAAAGGCTGTTGCTGAATGGACTGCCAGGTTTGTGGTCCATCTCAATTTAAATATATATCTCTCGGCTTTTTTACCTAAACATAAATAGTATATTGCTTTCTTAGAGCAATGGGTGGATCTGTTCCATTTGAAGAAGCTCTAGCCGCTAGACTTTCTTTGTTCAAGCCTTCTCTTTCGAAAGTTGAGGAGTTTCTTGAAAAGAGACCCCCGAGGTACTGATTTTGTTTACGGTTAACTTGCATATGTTGTTAATTTTGATTCTTTAGTTTGATGCGAGCTATTGCCTCCTGATTGAGAAACTATTTCACATATAAAGATAGAATTTACTTGTAAGTGTTCCATTGGCCCAATCCCCAAGTTCTTGTCTTGCATTGGACTTTGACCAGAAGAGAGGTTAACATCTAGCTTGCTTGATTCTCTGCACAAGATATGTGGAACATGCCATGTTCAGATTGCTTTCTGAAATGTGTTATTGTTATAGTGTGTTGTTACTTTGGTTTGTGTAGGCTATCCCCTGGCATTGAAGAGTTGGTCGAAAAGCTCAGAGCCAATAACATTGATGTCTATTTGATATCTGGCGGTTTTCGACAGATGATTAATGTACTCTCTCCATTTCACTTGTTTCTTCATGTTCTTTACTGTGGCCTGTTGCATCAATTCTTGTGTAGACTACTACAAATCATGGTGATAAGGTTTTGAATGAATTTCCTTTTACTGTAGCCTGTAGCATCGATTCTTGGCATCCCTCGAGAGAATATCTTTGCCAACAATCTTCTATTTGGAAATTCTGGCGAGTTTCTGGGCTTTGATGAAAACGAACCTACATCAAGAAGTGGAGGCAAAGCAAAGGCAGTGCAACAAATACGAAAGGTTCATCGAATTCTTCTTGCAAGCTTCATATATCTCTTGTTACATACAGCACTCATCAGACTTTGTTCTTTTCAGGTTCGTCTCTACAAGACTATGGCCATGATTGGAGATGGTGCTACTGATCTCGAAGTATGCTTAGCTTATATTAACAGAGACTCTACAGATTACAAAGATCTCAAACGATGTCTTGAGTAACTAACTAAACTAATTGCCTTGCAGGCACGTAAACCTGGTGGTGCGGATTTGTTCATATGTTACGCTGGAGTTCAACTTCGTGAAGCCGTTGCAGCAAAAGCAGATTGGCTTGTCTTCAAGTTTGAATCTCTCATAAACTCATTGGAATCAAAGCCTTTATAGTGATTATTCTCTTTTGGCTAAACTCATTATTCATATCTCAAAAACAAAAAAAAATTTACCTGTTTTTTTTATTGAATTTGTGTGAAATTCTATTGAATCAACAAATGTTTTTGCCAACTTTAGCTGCTTAATCTCTTTGTTCAAGCATCACTGAACGTCATTATGACAAAATATTGATCTTTGTGAAGAGATAATCAAACCGCAGACTAATCAATCTTGGTGGTAGACATTCCTGGATGCGTGGTTAACGAACAAAGTCATATCCACCACCGCGTCCAAATCCACCGCGTCCGAATCCACCACGTCCAAATCCACCACGACCGTATCCACCACGACCACCACCAAAACCTCCCCTTCTTGCACCACCCCCACCGCCTCCTGAATCAGCTAGGTTCACTCCAATAAATCTCCCATCAAGTTCCTGTTTAAGCAGGAAACTTTATCAATGGTGATTTGACAAAAACAAGCAAAGAATGAAAGAAGAATCCCATTGGCTTCTGAAGCAGCAATGGAATACCAAAACATACTCTTCCTGTCTCAAGGAAAATGAGATAAACAAATCGATAAAGCACATGATTTTACTCACATTTCGACTCTACTAAAAGAGTTACTTATCGACAAACGGGAGATACAGGACCTTACGTATCAACAAACTAGTGTACTAGAAACTTATGTGACAAAGTCAAAAGATTTAAAGGGTAT